ATTATTATTCAGATTTGTTTCGAAATTCTTGAATTCTGTTGAATAAACCAAAACACCCAAAGCTTTTCTGAATGATTTGTCTACTAGATAGCTTTGAAATCTAACGAGTATGTGGCACGTGCGGTTTGAGTCTTTTTTTATTCAGCCGAATGCATCAACACAGTGTCTTCAGGGGGTCTGCATCCTTTAGCATTAAGTGGTGAACCGACTTTGTAGGCTTTCTGTGCAGTATACTGAACACTCTAGTATTCCCTCCACATGCTATTCTTTTAACAGCGTTCTCTCTCTGGCACTACTCTAGTCAGCATGAGTTAATTTAGACTTCACACTAAAGAGTTTTAGAATGGTAAGACCTCTTGGTCCCTTTTTGGTGTACAATATAGTTCCAGGTCTGAAGTCAAGTAGACTTAATGTCATCCTCAGATATTCAGATTGTAGCTACATGTCGTTTATGGTGCATATTAAGTAATAAAACCCTACCTTTTACGGCAGAATATCTTTAACCTGTATTACAGGGGTCAGCATTGTGTTCATGCAGTTTACATTAGGTGAACTTCCAATAATAGCTGACTTAAGGGACGGTAATGGGTTACTAGAAGAGCTTATACCATTTTCTGAGTTGTTGATGTTCCAATGAATACGGTTTTTAGAGTTTTGGCCTATTATTATTAAATATTATATGTTAGAAGTGCATGAATGGACGTCAGTGAAAACAGTGTAGAAGTGTCACCAAATTTGGATGTGCCACGATATTTATTCGAAGACACGGCGCAAGTGTTGTCTTTAAAAGAGAAAATAACTAGATCCACCTGGACAGGAACATACTTCCAAAAAAGCACTACGGTGGTTTCTGGGGAGATTTGAGAGTTACTGGGTATGGTCTCAATGGATCTCACTATGACTATATGATACACGAACAACACCAGTAGTAGGAACGACTAAGACTCAAGCTATCACGAGCTGGGAGCACCCACTGCGGCAGCAGTATGATTTGGGCGCCTGTGATGTTAATGCATTTATACCGACTCCACCCGCCCTTTATTTTTCTTCAGCTTTTCTCTCTTCCACCCTCCACAATGGAGTTTTTCCGCATGAGCGGTTGTCTAGTTACAGCTTCTTCAGCAATAGTCACTACGATAGCACACTGAAAAACTTATGCTCCGATTATTCTTGTCAAACTTAGAATTTTAAAGTTTTAGGAGATTATTATTTTGTGATTAATGCTCTTCGGTTTTGTTTCGTAGTTTTCATCAGTGGCACCCACTTATTAATTTCATGGACAAGTGATGGCTGAAGAAAACCACTGTGCAGATGGTGTGTGACAATTACAAGAGATTGTTTGAAAAGGAGTGTACTAACCGGCTCTTGTGAAACAGACTTTTCTGCTTGCAAGCCCTTTAAAGGCTATAACAACATAACTGCTTACCTTTTGAATACGACGTACTTTCCCTCTAACTAGAAAATGTCCTTTTTTGAGCTATCCTTTTGGAAAACCTGCCACTACTAGCCGATGAACACAACTAAGCCATTACCTGCACAGTGAATTTCTCTGTGCTGTCCAGCTGTGCTGAAATACTGCCAAAGCCCCAGGTACTAATTTCTTAGTAGCATCTTCCTCACTCGATCGGATAAATAAGACTTGTTGGTTCGCTACCTGATTGCTGTGAGGCTTAATAACCTGAAAGTTCTGGGTGAAGTCGAAAATCTTCTCATACTTTATCAGTCTTTCCGCTCTTATCATATTTGGTAGACACTATTGCCATTTCCTTTATTGTTGTTTTATCACGAATGATAACTGGTAATAAGACAGTTGAATTCGGCCCTAAGAGGAGCATTATGGCATCATATTCTGTGGTGACAAGGGCCCCATTTGATGCAGGAAATAATGCAGTGGGATTAACTCCATTTTACTCATCGGTTTTTAAGACTCCAGTGCATATTCCCTTCTCTGTTAACACGCCCATGTCTCCACAGTCCACTGTTGAAGCTACACGCATCCAACAGAATGCACACGGTACCACACCTGTCTCCACAAGAAGCCAATGTACCGAATATAAGACCGAAAAGAAATGCCCAAGACTTGGCAAGCTTTCCAAGACCCCTACTGGTAAAGGAGATGACTGTCAAGTCTGCGGTCCTTCCGTCTGAAAAAGTCACTCGGTATTTTCAAGTGATTGGTGCACTGCTGTTGCAGCAGAGGACGATAACTCATTCCACACAAGTATCTCGACTTAATTTGCGGAAAAAACCAGCAGCAGGTCGGTTCCACCGCTCTCAGCCGACTAGTTTCAACATCAACTCCTCAGCCAACAGCATACTCCGCACCAAGCAACCCACAATAAGGTGGTGTTGTGAGACCTACTGCCATTTGCCTGTGTGGCGATATGAGAGAGCAGTCAGGAATAAAGCTGAACTCAGAGACAATCTTTGACAAACACCTAGTTAACCTCTATCGTTACCAGTAATAAAGTCAGTATAAGAGATATAGCTCCGACCAGGCGAGACAGAGATATCAAGAAACGGGATAGAGTTGTCACACGCGTTGACAAGCAGCTTAGGTGCATACGATTAACAGGCACACCACTTACTGAACTCCAAGGCTTTATATGGAGCCATTTTACCGTAGGTCACACCAAGTTTTTATTAGGTGATATCTATCCACCGCCTCAAACGTGGAGCAGAACACGACCACTTACTGATCGGCGCTATCATAGGGATGCGGGACGAGGGCTGTGACCCAGTCATCATAGCTGTGGACATCATCGCTGCACCCCTTAATATGTGGTCGGGGTGTGCTCAGGAGAAATTTCATCAAGATCTGCCGCTCACCATTAAGGGTGCAAGATTGGGTGGGAACATTGTAGATGACACTAGGTAGGCCCTCAGTGGAAAGTCAGCAAAACTGGATAATACAATAAATAGCGACCAGTTACTAGTGGAAAACATTCACAATATGACCCTCTAGGTAGCAGTGACCATGCAGTCATAGTGTTTGACAATGATTAACATTTATTCCAAACAATATGTGATCACAAAGTACAGAGATTTTCCTCGTATTTAGTTCCAAAATATTTCTTTCTCATACAGGATTTACGTGCAAAATAATCATTTGGAGTTTACCAAATGACGTAGTATTGTTACACATAAAGATAGAAACGATTCTGTATGTTTTCCCTTCATCTTTTTCAAGAAATGGGCATCATTTTATTGAAAGATAATTAAATGTATCAGTGAGTTCAAGTGGTGATAACGTGATGTAATTTCAAGATTAAAACAACAAGGAATGCAGGAAAGTTTAAACGTTTTAATGTGCGGAAATCCTGGTAGCCCAGTGAATTAAATAGTCCACCGCAGCTTTCACATCATGGTCTGGTTCTCTGAGTACGCTTATAGTGGGATGCGACACAAGTTTGCCTGTGCTATAGCAACACCCACTACAACTAAATGCGGAGATTTGTCTGACGCAGAATGACCTACATAATGTAAAGATATATCAGTAGGAGAGTTTGGGGAAATTGTAAATGCGGTCATTCACACAGCGATCTCAGATACCGTCCTCCTGGTCGCCCTACAACCTAGGAAGCGATCCTCGTAGCCGAAGGAAGGCACGCGGTGTCCTCTGCAAGCACAGCGGGAAGCTTGGTTTGTATAGCGGCTGTCCAAGAGCCGGACTGACCGTGAGGCACACCCAGAAATCAGGAACCAATGCAACACAATGGTTGGGCGTGACAGGAAGTCATTTCAGGCACATCTTGCCCGAAAACTCCTGACAGACTTCCAAAGCCTGTACCGATTCATGTACGAAAGAAAGCCCGATAACTGGAAGGCATGCTATCAAGGAGATTCAACTGGTCATTACCCCTAGTTTTGAAATGGCTGAAACGTTTGCTTCAGCCCATGACAGCCAGCCAATTAGTGCTGTGGGTGTTACTGCTACACGCCACAAGTATTGCACTGCTAACATACCAAGAGGAAACTTAATAAGTACACTCTAGTAAATCGCACACTGGTACTAAGGAAGTCGCAAACACTTAACCCCGGAAAGTCCTGACATTGTGACGACATTCGCCCATATTTTGCTAAACAACGCACTGAAGCTCTCTGTGGGCCCGTATGTAATCTGTTCCAACACTCCATGAATTCAGGGGAATTGCCAAATAAGCGGACGAGAGCCATCTTCTGTTCTATACTGGAGGGTGGGGATCAGTAAAATACCAAGAGTTACAGACCAGATGCAACAATGCAAATGGTGTCAAAGGTACTGGAAAGTCTGACTAATTATCTCACCAGACAACACCTCAACGGGACTAACATACTACACTGAGCACAACATGGTTTACGGAGGGGAAGATCCTGTGTGACAAACCTATTATCAGTTTGAAGCAGCTGAATATTAGACCGGGATATGGATACTCCAGTCCATGTAATCTTTTTCGACACAGTTTAATGTGACTCACAATCATTCAGAGACATAAGGACTGCGTCCAAACGGCCTACCACTCAAAACTCACACACTATTTATGAGTATACACCTAAAATTGTCCTTTAACCGCTTTCTATTCTCCCCTATCTTACTTTTCTGATTACTGCATCTGTTCATTCGCTTATTTCGTTGTCATATATGTATCTTAATTTCAAATTCCATTATCTATTCGTTGGTACGGCCTTCTTTTTTCAAACTACACAATGTGTGCACTAATTATATTAATTATTGTTATTATTATCATATGTATTCTAGACCATGCCGGATAACTAACGGGTGAAACGATTAACTCCATTCACAGTGGCGACATGGCCTTAACACACTGCAAACCACATAAAACTAATCCTAGCATCACTCCCCTTGGAGCCACCCAAAGTTAGGACAGTCGAGCGGCAAGACGAACGCAGAAGTCTACCAAAGCCCTGTAACATGTAGCTAACAAACAAGAAGCGAGCAGGAAGAAATCAATTTGATTTACATTAGCTCGATATTTAGTATGACCTTACATAAGTGCCCTCGCAACTTGAAGTCAAGGTCATCGCGTTAGTGTAGCATGGCCAGAAAAGGCGAGCGTGTAGATTTCCAGGAAGATGATGACGATGATATTTACGACCCCAAAAGCAAAGGATTTTGCCGTGCTTGTGTGGATTTATCGAAATTTGGCCTTTCAAAAACGAAGAAAATAGTATCAAAGCCAGATGTCGGTATGTAATTTTTCCAACATCTTCATTGTTATTTCTGTTCACTGGTCCTCTAGCGTAGTATTAATTAATGAAATGTCTTCATTGAGTTTTGCATTGGAAATTACTCGTGGGGGACCATTTCGCAGTTTGGAACGATGTAAAGTTTACATTTTAGCTATCTACAGATTAGTAAAATTTGTCAGCTTTTTGAATATGGGTGTACACGTATATGGATTACTTGACCAAGGAATACGCGTTAATCTCAAAATATCCGCAGCTCCTTATGCAGGTGGATATTTTCCTTATGTTAAAGGACAGTATGACAAGCTGTTTAAAAAAACTGTGATACTGCTTGAATGTAACGAGAATAGAGCGAAGGGGGTAATTAACACTCAAACGCCTAAAAGTAAATTCTTTATTATGATTGTTAATAGTCATATCTTCTCCGTGGAAGGTTGGCATGCACTTCATCTACTGTTGATGACATGCTCGTATGCGGTTTATGCAGGTAACTGTATTAAAACCCCAAAATTAAAATTGTGGAGTAATCCGACGACAGCTTCTTTGCACCCTCACACTTGGAAGGAGATGCGAAACTCTCATTCTGGCATTTTTAAGATATTTGGTCCAATGAATATAATTTGACTTTAGCCACTTATTGTCAAATCCTCTTTTTAGATTTCAGATTTATTGGTTGGGGATAGAAGGCTTGGAGCCTATGTTAATCCTTTTCTAGTAAATTTCTGTGGTTGTCCAAACCCTTCTTGAACGGATCAGTTGAGATTGCAGATACCACTTCTTCTGGGAGTCGGTTCCAAGAGTTTCTGACTCGATGTGAGAACCAGTACTCAACAGCAATATGATTTCTTCTTGGCTTTTGAACTCTCCTGCTATGTCCTCTAAGGTGTTCTGACCTGGTGGGAAGGAAAAGAGAGAATAGGTCAGGTCCGTAGTCATTATTTGAAATTTTAAACATTATGATTAAATCTCCTCTCTGCCTAATGTATGAGAGGGAGAAGAGATTTAACCTGTCTAGTCTTACATGGTATAATAAGTTAGTCATGCCAAGAACCATACGTGTTGCCTTCCTTCGAACCCTTTTGTAGAATGTGTGAGTCCCCTTTGAGACAAGGACTGGCGGCCTGCATGCAGTTTTCCAGTCTTGACCTCACCATATCTCTGGTGATTCTAGTGAAGGCTCTGCGAATTGCCCATAATGACCTGAAACAGCGTGCAGCCACCGCGCGGCAGTGTGCTGTAATTTTTAAGTCTTGGCTAACTATGACACCTAAGTCCAAGTGAGTGAACTGATGGAAGTGTTATTCCCTCTAGTTCGTAGGAGCTCGTGCTTGCTTGTCCAATGAGCATGGTTGCACATTTTGCCACATTTATCGAGAGCATCCATTCTATGGACCACTCTGACAATTTGTTGAGGTCCTCTTGCAACATGGGCGTGTCACTTTTGCCCTTCAGCTCTCTCCAAATTTTTAAGTCATCTGCGTATAGGGCCATGGGGGAGTCGGTGAGCAGAGATAACTCATTGATATACAAAATAAATAGGAGAGGTCCGCGCGCCGTGCCTTGTGGCATTCCGCTACGTACTGCTGTCCAAGAGGAGAGTTTCGAGTTGATCTTAACCCTCTGCCTCCTATCTATGAGGAATTCCCTGAGCCAGTTTAGTAAGCTGCCTTTAATACCAAGACTTTCCAAATTCATGAGTAGTCTTTTGTGAGGTACTTTATCAAAGGCTTTCCTGAAGTCTATGAAGACGACGTTAACGGGTCTTCTGTTGTCCCGGGATTTGACCCAGCTTTCTCTTGCAGTGAGAAGATTTAACAGGCATGAGAGGTTCCTTCGGAAGCTATGCTGTGCTCTAGATAATAAGCTTCTATTTTCTTTATGTGCCATGATGCTTTTCTTGATGATTCTTTCCAGTTTTTTGATTAAAGTGCTGGTGAGACTGATAGGCCTGTAATTTGAAGGGCTTTGTCTTGATCCTCCTTTGTGGATGGGGTTACTATGGCGTCTTTCCAGTCACGTGGTAACACTCCATTTAGGAGAGAAAGCTTGAAGATCGTAGTCAAAGGGCCGGCTATGTGGGCTGATAGCTCCTTGAGAAGCCTTGGATGAAGATTATCAGGACCCATTGATTTCCCTGCATCTAGTTTCATTAGGCAGTTGAGGACGATGCCTTGGTCGATGTCAACAGAATCTATCCCATGTTCTTCTGATGCAGCCAGAGCTGATCCTATAGGCAGTGATAACTCCTGAGTGAAGACTTGGGAGAAGTAGTTTGCCATTGCTTCTGCTTTTTCTTGATCTTCTTCGATTGTATCATTGTTAATAGTCAGGTTTGGGACACCATTGGATGTTTTATTCCTGAAGTTCATTTGCGAGAAAATTTTCTTAGGTTGTGCCTTTGCATTTTAGAAGTGAAGTTCAGATAACATAATTCTTTTCATTTCTTCAGTGCCAAACAAATGTTTTCTCTGAGGCAGACAAATAAATCAACGTAAAAGTTTGAACATAAATGCATTAATTAAAGTTGTCATACTATGGGACATGTTTGCTGCTTGTTGAATCAGGGATTTGTGTGGATTTCATTTTAGATTGGCTAATTCAGGAGATTTTGCTCGCTGATCACTAGAATCGGGTGGCATAACGCTAAAAGTGTCGTCTTCGTCGGATTTTAATGGTAGTGCACTTAACTTACACTTGGTAAAAAACAAATGAGAATTAAGAAATAGTTTCCCCCTACGTTTTAACTGTTCCTGGTATTTGATCTATTCATTCCAAGCTCCATGGTGAAAACTACCTCTGAAGTCTTCAAACTGAGACAGTATGTGTTACTTATCTTCAATCATTTTCACTTGATTTTCAACTTATATGGGATTGGAAAGTAAAACCTAATAGTTATTCCTAAGATTTTCTTAGTGTTAACGTAAATTTGTTGTACAGCGTCTGCACAAAGATTGAATCAGTCATTGAGTTTATTGTCGCTGTTTTCATTCCAGAATGCCCAGCAGATAAAATTGAACTTGGCAGAGCATCATGGACTTTACTGCATACTATGGCAGCATATTATCCAATGCATCCGACAGTAAAGCAACAAGAAGATATGAAAAGTTTTCTACATACATTCGCTCAGTTCTTTCCATGTCGACCATGTGCCTATGACTTTGAGTCTAGTAAGTCTTCAGTGTTATATATGTATATATGTTCTTGTGTTTTTGTTTATCCCGTGTTGATAGTGTTGCTTGAGTAGCTAGAAGAACTTAGTATGAAGAGGTTTCACCTAGCATTTAATTGAACTTTTCATTTCTGCCTCTGTGAGTTTCCTACCTTTGGAGTAGAATTGCACAAAGCCTTGACACTCACCTATTATATGAGATGCTATTGGAAAGTCTTCCATGATGCCACACTTCACCGCATATCACAACTTCCATGAACACTACATATACATATGTATATATATATATATATATATATAGTTGCTTCTTAATTATACAACTTGCAGTCGGTGACTTGTTTCCTCAACTCGTACTGTTCCTGAGATAAAATACAATAAATGTAGCTTACGGTTCTACGTACTTTTTGAGTTGTGGCATCATGTGCTCAGTTAACAGTACTACATTTTTCTTTATTTTACATACTTCATAGAATTGAAGCTATTGATTTCGGGGGTGAATAGATCACATTTGTGTTAAAAAATAAAGCTGTCGACTGACTGACTGGCGTTTGACTGTGTAAAACTTTGCGTAGAGAAGTGCATCAGGTCAAAAACTGCTTCAGTTTACAATAGGCATATACTAATTGGGACCGTGAAGGCAGAATGATACTACAACAGGCAAACTTAGGCGTGATGGAGAGAATAAAGTCAGAATTTAACTGTAAACATCTAATTGATACTTATTGTTTGTTGCAATATAGGCTGTTTTTCCCAAAATATAGATTATAAATGTAAATATTTGCAATATAAGGGAAGCAAATATGATTTCTATTCAGATTTTGAATTTTGTCGGGTAATTGACTAATTTCCATATGGATTTCATCAATTAGATAATCACTGAAAACGATGGAGTAATGGATAGCTGTTTCGTCCCAGTCTGAGTGTCTTCACTAGTATGCGCCCATGGTCTCACCAGGATCTTTAAGTCACGAGGCCACTCCGTTGATTATTCAGCCACTGAAATGGAATTAAATGACCTGTGAATTCTAACTTTGTCAATTCGCACGATATAGCGCTACCACCGTCCAATACCATCGGTGAACATCCGCTTCATCTGGACATTGTGGATTCCACTGACCACAACTCATCATTAAAAGCTAGGAGATTCTGGGTTGTGCAGGGATTCGGATTGATTTCAGTGTAGATCAAAGTTTGATCTTACCATATAAAAGTAGTGGTTTCCATTCCTAGGGGAATCATGAATATGTACTGATGAAGAGACTCAAACTAGGACGAAACAGCTGTCCAGTACTTCCTACTTCTGAAATGCTTCTCTAACTAATGTTGGTTGATGATGAAAATTTACACTGAAATAATTTTTGTTAGTTTATTGTCAATCATAAGATGGCAAGTTTCGTGTAAGACACACCAGCTTTCAACTATGAATATAATTCGTCTGAACTATGGTCAAGGTGTGACCAAATAGTGCCAAAATAGTTAGACGCTGAGTAAGAAGTAGACATATACAGAAATTATATATTTAAAGTCACAGCGAAATTGTCATAAGTAATTCCAACGTTTCGTTCGGCAAGCTGGTCCAAACTTCAAGGAAATTAATCAAAATTAAAATATGTATATAAAAAGACATAGCTTGTCTTCAATCGAAAGTAATCACTAAAAATCTGATGCTAAAGTACACACTGTTTACAGAGTTGAACAAAAGGTTCACTAATATTTTTAAATCTGTGGCCAAATTTTGATCACAGTTCATACAATTTTGTTTTATGATAATTTGAAATCTGTTTATGACTCACATGATTGGACAAGGATATTAAAGACAAGATACGTCCTTGTAAGTATATACCTTTGTTATTTTAATTTAGTTTAATTTCCTTGAAATAAGTTCGGACCAGTTTACCGGACGAAACGTTGCAATAACTTATTTCAGTTTCTCTGAGATGTATACAAATATAATTTTTACATAAATGAATATAATTGTTTTTGTTTTTTGAAGTGATCCATTATTGTGGTTAAACAGAGTGAAGAATATAGAGAGAGTTTAATCTTCATAATTTTTTTTAAAATTCCTTCACGCTCCCAGTGGAACACAGGGCTCCAAGCTAGAGGCTTGAAGTTTCGGTAGCAGTGGTGTGTGTGTTTATTTTTACGGGATAGAGTTGCTTCTGGCCTTATGCCCCCCAACCTTCCCTCTTTACCAGTCTTTCTACTGGCTTAGCTGAGGTACAAGAGTGCGTCTTACATAGCCTCTCCTGAGGAAGTCCTACTCACTGCCTTCACGTGGCGGAGGTGTTTTTCACCAAAGTGAGAGGGCGAAAGCGGATGCCCGGCGCTCTTCACCGGGTTGACTGTCCATTGGATGACAGTCTAGGGGAGATGGCTAAACCCTGATTCCAAGCCTCCAACGACTGGCGTATGAAGCTCACTGGAGCTCACCGGCAGACGTATGGACAAAGAGCTTGTTGGATGTCCTGGATGTCTGGCCCCATTCAAAAAGGCGTATGAACCGAACTCCGGTCACCGGCTGTCAATGGATAGTGGACTCCCTACTCCACTCCTACAGGTCACACTTGGTTGTGTAAAGGCTAGAGCTGCACTCTCAAACAAAAGGCCGAGCGATTCTGGGGACATCATTCGTACCAAATTCCCATGAAACTTCATGAACTCTTGTGTTCATGAAGCCGGCTCATCCTCCCGTAGGAGATAGCCGAAGTAAAGTAAAGTAAGTAAGCGTCGGTGGCTGGGGATCGAACCCCGGACCACGTGAGGCGTAGTTTGCGAGCATTCTACCGCCACCTTCATCTTCATAATTATCTACTAATTCCATATTTTTTATCTTTTGTTTTTGTTATTATGTAATAATTAAATGTAGATATGATATTACATCCACCAAAGTTGGAGAATCGTAACACACTAAGCGGTTGGTTATGCTTACAGCATAATTTAGTGAATAAAAAAATCGGTAAACCATTGTTCGATTGTAGTCGTGTACTGGAACGTTGGCGTTATGGTTGGAAGGATAACAATGACTGTAGACTACCGGATCAAGAATAAAAATAATAATAATAATAATAACAATGATAATTATAATAATGGTTGTACACTTGTACAGTAGTTTCTTCCTCTTGTATATTTAGCTATGCATGTATGATCTCCCCTTCGTCCTCTCCTTTTCCTTCTCCTCCTTCTGCTTACTGCATAGATAATAACTTCCAACTATAGGAGTACTGTTTCTTTCTTGACATTTTGTCGTCCATTATTTCATATCTAAATTGATAACACATTTTTGTTTTTCTCCTAAACTGTGAATCGTGTTTTGTTTTCTGTTTTTTTTTGTACTTAGGTATGATTAACATGTTTTCTAGTAGTATTATTTTGTATTCAGGGAGAGAAAAAGAGAACAGAAGAAGAAATAGTTATCAATGAGAAATGCTGCATTTTCTCTTTGTCTTTGTTATTGAGTCATTTTTTTGTTTGTTTGTTTGGCTGTATCAGTCAAAAGCAAACAGATGTGACGTGTTGTGTTCAAGTATACCTGGGACACTGCTTGGACGTCCGGATTGAGGCAGGTGGTTATCTTGATGGGGGGTGATCCAGCATCCTACACCTTTAACTTGAAGTCTGACCCTGAAATAAGGCAGTGGATCAGCGTTAGGAGCTACTTCATAATGGTTCATATGACATTCAATCCGTTGGAAGCTCATCTACACTATGGGTTAGGAAATCAGGGTATTTCAGCTATCTTAAGGAGGCGAACATGTCTAGCAGTTCGATTGTAAATGCCTTTCCGCTTTTGTGAGGAATACCCTTGTAACGAATGGAACTTATATGACTGAGGCTATGAAGGCGCACGTGGTTGCATGACTGAGCATTTCGAGAGGAAGATTGAAGTCTAACCACCCTAGACTGTACTAGGTCGTTTATGGGGACTCATATGAATCATGGTGTACAGCTTCTTGCCTTCTTGATCACCATTTACGGTATTTGGAAGATCGTGTATTACGTGATCTCTGAATAATTTCGGTTTTCAAGGGGAACTGTTTGGTGAAATTTCACCTCAAACTGTATGTAAATTGCGAATTTGGTTGAATGTATCACCTATTCACCCCAAGTAGAGGTAGCCAGCATTTGGGGGTGGCTTGAATTGGTTCGCCTTTCTGAGTTGAGTCAAATCAGGTACAGCAGTGATTAGCTCGGCTGACTGACTGGTTTCAACGTAGGTGTTCAGCAGTTCTAATTGCCACACTCCATGTAGCCCACAACGCAAGAGAAGAGAGTAAAGTGAGATTCAGAAGAGAGAGATAAACAGGACAATGAGGCAAAAAGAATAGTAGCATGGAAGAAAAATATAATTTTATTAGATATTATAAGACACAAGGACTAGATGCATCTACCCTAGCCATTGAGAACGATTTTGATCCATATCTCCAATTATCTCCAGCCATTGGCTTTTACCATCCCGAGGACCCCAACCAGACAAGAAGTCTACACGTCCTTACATGGCTGGCTTAAACTAACTGTTGTGGATTTCATTGACTGATGAAGCCATGTTTTGGTTTGACCACCACTGCTTATCTCTTTTCCACCCTGATCCATCCTATGTCAGTCAGCTAACATTGCCCGTCGAGGAAGTCTATCTATGGCTAGAGATGCATGCGTAACATATATCCTAACCATCTCAATCGGTGTAACCTCACAACGTCGTTGACTGATTTCGATCGATTCCTAACCTCAATGTTGATCAGCCTACTATAAAACCTGACACGGGAGATAGAACGCAGGCACCTATGATCAAAGACAGCCAGTCTTTTCGTATCTTGCACTCTCAATGGCCGTGTCTCACTCACAGCCGTAAAGGAGGACAGAGCGAACTGCTGCTGTGCATTCCACACGCCCTTTGGTCGACAGTCAGTCGGATATCACGTCTACTCGAGAGATGGCATAAGTCAACGTATGCCAAACGAGACTCCTGCATCCGTGCTGAGATTTCGTCAGCGATCAACCTACTGGGACTGGCTGATGCAATTTCCCAAATAAGTGAAGATTAGCTCGACTATAAACGAGCGAACGGCCATCCGCTGGTGTTTAGATCATTTGGGCCTAGCTAATTAGCAGGCACTAATGGATGATATGTGTGTGTTGGTGGTACAGCGGTAGAATGCTCGCCACCCATGCATGTGGTCCCGGCCGACGTACTCCTAAGCCGCTAATAAGACCGGTAAAGAGGGGACGTTGGGTATGAGGCTAGCAACCGCATCGTTAAGAAACAAAACACCACTGAAACTTAAAAGCTCTAGTTTGAAGCCGTATGTTCTCCTAGGAACGGAAGGGAATAAAATAAACAATAAAATACTGGTTGACGTGAATGTTCGTGTCCAACTGCTTATAAATGTCGTTTAAGTAGTATATAGTGACATGAGTTAATATACTTGCGTCCGGTCTGTAAGTCCAGACGTATAAATGTGACCCATTGCCTTAAGCACATCGGTATTTCAGTTACACTAGCTCCATTTACTTCAGCCAGGACAAGTGACGCTAGTATCATTAGCTCTTACATGCAGTCGTGTGGTTGACTGGTTTAAGCACATGGCTTACAGCTGAATGGATGGGTCTAGGGTTCGAGTCCGGCTCCATCTACTTCAACCTGGATAACTGATAGTGGTATCATTAGTCCCCACACGATAATTGTCTGCCACATAGTCTAGTAAAGGAAGTCTATGATCCCGTTTCAATGTATTGATCGTCTTAAACTGAATAGTCTATTTGTGGTATATGAGAACGATCACTCAGCCCAACCTTCCCCCTTTACCAGTCTTATTACTGGCTTAGCTGAGGTAAAGGAATGCCTCGGTGGCTGGGGATCAAACCCCTGGACCACATGTGAAGCCTGGTTGGCGAGCATTCTACCACTGTGCCACAGACGCACAAAGGTAGAGAAAAGTAAACGTTAAGAGAGACTATAATGGACAGAATTGTAAGGGAAGAAAGGATAAATATATATAAGGACTAATAAGAATTTAACGAATCTGAAAGATGACAAAGGACGGACTGCATCTGCACCACGGAGAACGATTTTGGGTCATCTCAACAGTGGTATATTTGGAAAGACAACAATGACTGTAGACTACCGGAATGATAATTGCTTCTTAGTAACTTGAGGATCCAAACCGAGGTCAGAAACTCCATCTGTTTGATTCGACCATATCTAACTCTTTTCTAACCTAATCGGTTATCAGCTTACATCGCTTGATGGCGAAGCAGACGGCTTGGCATGCGTAACGCATGCCTTAGCCATCTTAGTCGATGTAGTTTCGCGGCCTCATCTACTGACTTTTCCTCCTCACTTAACATTCTACACACTTAATCCCAATATTACTGACTATATCATGCATCTTACCATGGAAGACAGAAGGCAAACAATTGTGGTGAAACAACAGCTGACCCCTTCAATTCTTCTGCTTTCAACAGCTACATCTAAGCCATAGAGAAGGATAGAGAGAGACAGAGGGAATTGCTGTACAGTACACGCACACATTGTTTGGTTGATAGTCGAATATTATGTCTACACCAGAGATGGTGTAAATTTGCAAGTACCACACCAGCCTTTCTTAATCGTGCTGTGATTTCGTTAGCAATTAGTCCATCGGGAATAATGTACCTATCCAAGTAACTGAAGTGATCAACCACTTCACTCCTTATATATTTAAACCAAATATCGATGTAGAGATCAGTCCTGAAGTATTAGGTTACGTTTAGGAGGGGGGAAGAGTTGCATGTTAAACATGGTAAGATTTTTGCCCAAAGTGTTCAGAAGACGCGACATATCTATAAGCTTCTTCGTATAAATAGGTTATATCATCTGCATACTGTAAACTGACAAGTGTCATTCAAGTTACGCTTAATCTTTAATGACTTGGGAGGTTAGTATAACTGAACTGAACTGAATAAATCCGTTGCTACTTTGATATGTCTGAGGCTGCTAATTGGTAATTACTATTATTGTTTCCTTTAATTCCTACAGGAACATAGGGCTTCAGCCGTGCCTCTCCACTGCGTTCGGTTCTCTGCTAGAGTCTTCACCTGGCTCCAAGTCTGCCCACACGCTTTCATCTCCTCTTCACATGACCTCCTCCAAGTCACCCTTGCACTGACGACCAACTCGCCACTTCCCTTTCGGGTTCCACTCGAGAAATGACTTGTCTAGTGATGTCACTTGATGGTTTCCTCAGAGTATGGCCAGCCAATCCATCTCCATTTCTTCCTGCCTATTTGTTTCACAATCGGTTCCTTTTGTGTTGGTTCGCTCCCAGAGATCTCTGTTGCTGATCTTTTCTGGCCGGCCATCTGATCTTGAGTATTGAGCGAAGACAACTGTTAATGAAGGTCTGCAGTTTGCTTGAGATGCTCTTTATGACGCGCCAAGTCTCTGATCCGTATAGTAGCACTGACTTCACATTGGAGTTGAAAATCCGGATCTTATTTTTTATGCTGAGTGCTGTTGACCTCCACACAGACTTGAGAGTAATGAAAGCTTGTCTTGCTTTTCCGATCCTCGCCGCTTTGATATCCTCGTCAGTTCCGTCTGCCTGTAGTTGAAACGATGCTCCCCAGGTAGGTAAAAGAGATTGTTTCTTTCAGGTTCCTCCCATTTATGCTGATCGTTGTCTGTTGTTGTTGTTCTTGTCCAGGAATCTTCATTACCTGTTTTCTCTATGTTCACCTGAAGCCCTATCTTTGATGCTTCTTCTGCCAACTTGTTGCTTTTCGCTTGCATATCTTCCAGTTTGTGGGAAATTTGACATATATCATCGGCGAAGTTCAGACCCTCCAGGTTTTTTGTGTGAGTCCATTTTATGCCTGTTTCCTCATTGCCCGCTGTTTGTTGCATTATCCAGTCTACTGCAATTAGGAAAATCATTGGCGACAGTAGGCAGCCAGCTTGTCTTACTCCTGTCCTCACTTCGAAGGATTCCGTGAGTTTCCCGTTGTGGACTACTTGGCATGCAGCATTGTCGTACAGCTGTTGGATGAGATGTATAATTGTCGGTGGCACCCCATAGTAGCGAAGTAATTGCTAATTGGTAATAACGGTAATGAACTCTACTGGTACACTAATACATGTCTATTTGTCCGTTGTACTTTCCGATTCACTGAGCCACGCAAATAACAAAAGACTAAGGCTGGCTGGCCTGTGACTGTAAGATATTGTATTGTACTATTTATTTTTGGAAACAACACATGATATTTATACATTTTCTTTACAATAATATGGTTGGCTCACAACCGTGATAATGTATTGTTCTTATTGGCTAGAAATGTCTATCCTGATTGGTTGGTGACCCGCCAAAGACCAAGGTGAGATAAAAGACAATGAGTTGATCACACATTAAATCACAATATACGTGAGAAATGATACATTCACATAGTAAC